AAAAGGCTGCAACACAGTGTTCATAAGTACTAGTAAGTCCCAATCACGTCCAAAGACAAAAAAAAATAAATAAAACTTAACACTTTTTATTTAGTGGTTGGAAAGAAAGCAGCAGCAATTCCTTTTTCCTCAAGGGATTGGACAACACTCTAAACCAAATCCTATATATATTTTTTTTTGTTCAGAATGATAGATGTCTTATAATCTAATCTAAGCAAATTTAGGAATAATCTAGAGGAAACGGGTAAGGGAAGATGATCAATTAAGACCGGCGATATATTATGGCAAATGATGACAAATTTGAGGGAGGCATCTCTGGTGTCACCAAAGAAAGAGGGTGATGACAAATCCTATATTCACTGCTCTACATTTTCCTTATATAGTAGAAACATGCAGTGAAATTGTCAACGTTGTTGCGTGACTATACAGTACACACAAGATTCACAATATCCGCCCTTCTATAACGTTAACTTCATAGTGTCACCCTGTCACGGGCCTCTTACAATTACAAAGTACTGGTGCCTGCCTGCTTTATTGGTACACAAAACAAGTGACTTTTATTATCACAAAATTTGCAGGTTGTGGTAATTTGATCTTGAAAAATTCATGTAAAATCTTTAGAGTTGTGATATTTGGGACTTCTCATTCTGATGATGATCACATGCTAAAGTTATTACTATTACGGTGGATACTGCAGCAGCAAGACATGCTTTTCTTTCCAAATTCCACAAGCTACTAGTATTAAAGGCCAAGCATTTAACGTTAGTGTTACTATTGAGAAGGAAAAGTAAAGCATTTCACGAGAAACATATAATTGATACCATTACAGTAGTAGTACTTGCTCTAGTAGCTAAGAATTGGACCGTTGCGTGAGTGTGTGAAATGGACCTGGTGTTGGTTTTTTTGTAGGTGTTCCAGTTCGCTGACAGGCACCGGGGTGCGTACAGCTCCAGCCTGCGCTCTGCAGTTTGCCCTTTTTATTGTGATGTTAATGGGTACCAGGTAACTACTAATAACTTCCCTTCTTTTATATTCTACTATAGTATTTCCTTGCTGCATTCGAGTTTCCGACCCCCAATGCATATACCCCCCCCAAGCACTACCATTAATCTCTACTTTTCTTGGCTTGCATTTTAAAAATTCAGAACTTCCTTAAATGTTTTGTCAGTGGGTGCGTAGGTATTCATTTGGACTGGTGGTGGCTCGGTCCCTCCTCCTTCCCCGATTTCTCCTTTGGTCCCGTTGGGTCACCCCCTCCCTATAGTATCTATAGTATAGAGTAAGAGTAGGTCTATCACGTCCCAAAAAAGAAAAAGAAAAAAAAAATATCTACTTCTGTAGTTAATAAATCAAGAATCCATATACTATTCATTATGTAATTAATGAACTAGATAATTTATTTGATATAGGAACATTTTTGGGAAGGAAAGAGGGTCTAATTAGCATTTCAACAATCATTTTTAAAATGTGGAATTACTACTAATTCGATAGTTGCCCTAAAAAAAGCCGTTTCTTTAATGACTGAGAATGTAGGATGAGTTGCTCTGGGGGGCGGCATGGTTACACAAGGCGTCAAGGCGGCGTGAATACAGGGAGTATATAGTGAGGAACGAGGTGATATTGAGGGCTGCAGACACAATTAATGAATTCGGATGGGATAACAAACACGCCGGGATTAATGTTCTCATTTCCAAGGTTAGTAGCATAATCTCTAATCTTTTATTCCCCCCCCCCCCCCCCGACCACACCTATTTCGGAAATTTAATTTAATCAAGTACCCATATGAGGAAACATCATGCTGTTTGTTTGTTGATTAATTATTGAAGCCTGCACTCATCATCAAATCTTTGTCTCTTTTTCTTTGTGGTTTTATAACTTTATTCTTCTTGTCTAGTGAATTTTGACCTATTATGCAAAAAAAAAAAAAATTTTATGCATCCCATCACAGGGTATAGAATCTATAGATATGGATGAGTGAACCACGATGAATCTAAAGAACAAAGGGTCCACTTGGCCTTAATGTTCAGTACCAGACCAAACGGCGAAGGGTCATTTTTTTTTTTTTTTTTTTTTTGGGATAATTGCACATGATGGCTTTGAGTGTTGTTGCTTTCACTTGGTGGCAGAAAACTTGGACATCCCTTTTTTTTTTTTTAACTTTAACAAAGTCTAAAAGGCATTTTCCTTTCCTTCGCAAGTGAACATATTAATGTAGTAGTATATAAAAATTTCACTATTGCGAATTAATTGTAAATTTACCAATAAGGCGCAAAATTAGCCTGGAAATTGCTAGAGACACCTAAGAAATATTGGGTTAATTAGAAGTGCTAATATATACTAAAGCACAAACAAAAAATGAATATTGAGAAGACAAAAAAAAAATAAATAAAAGAAAAAGGGGTGCTGTGCTACTACTATTTCTTGCATTTAGGACCTAAGATTTGTGGGGCATTGGGGATGGGATAAGTGAGTTGCTGCTTCTGCCATGCATGTGCAAAAAGGTCTGAGACAACAGTTCTTCCATACCGAGAGCTCTTCTTCTTCTTCTTATATGCTATGAATATGATGCATGATGATGAGGATTGCTTTTTATTCATGAATGCGACTTTCCTCATTGGAGGCTTAAGATTTGGGGCAGGATCGTAAATTTCGCTATTTAATGCTCTTTTCCTTTGGCCTTTTTTGAGTAGTAGGTTGTCGGTTGTCTCTTTACCCACTGCTTTTGGATTCTCCAAATGGGGTCAAGAACTCACATGACAGCATCCAATAATATGAGTGGAACTCAACTCCACCAAATTCATCATTTTTGCTGTATTTTTTTTTTTTTGGGTTTTATTATATTATGAAGATTATGAAGATTATTATAATTAGACTACAATTCAACTTAATCATGTGTGAAATTGTTACAGGAAGTGCTGATGGGCAAAGCAGATGATCTGCAATCCTTTAGGAGAAATGCAGATGGTTTCATCTGTTCTATATTGCCTGGAATTTCTCATCCTCAAGTCCAGTATTCTCCAGGTATACTATTCTACACTTACCCAAAAAAAAAAATTTCAGATGAAAATTTCTTTCAGTTGATCTTTTAGACATAGATAACAATTTGAAGATTTTATTTTCTTACATCTTTCTTTTTTCTCTTTTTTTTTTTTTAAATTTTTTTTTTTTTTTTTGTGGGTGTAAAAAGGTGGACTGATTGTCAAAGCTGGAGTGTGCAACATGCAGCATGTAACATCCCTATCTTTCCTGCTCCTAGCTTACTCTAATTATCTAAGCCACGCCAATAAGGCCGTGCCATGTGGCGAGACGTTGGCTTCCCCTTCTCTCCTCAAAAATTTAGCCAAACGTCAGGTAAATATCAAACTCAACTCACGTATAATACTTGTACAATACACGTTCGTTCGTACGTCTAAGAATTGAAAATTTAGTTTAAAAAAAATTAATTTCCTTTGGCTCAAAGAAAAATTATTTGAGCCAACGCCTGTGACCTTATCTTATTCCCTCTATTTTTTTTTATTATTATTTTTTTGATGTAACTGATTTTTTTTCAATTATTATAAATTTTTGTCAAATTGGTTGGGCTACCAGGTTGACTATATTCTTGGGGACAATCCAATGGGAATGTCGTACATGGTGGGGTACGGAGAACATTATCCGCAGAGGATTCATCATCGGGCTAGTTCGTTACCATCAGTTCGGGTCCACCCGGCCCACATTGGCTGCAAAGAAGGGTCGAGGTACTTCCTAAGTCCAGATCCAAATCCTAACCCCCTGGTAGGTGCTGTAGTTGGTGGACCCAACACCACTGATGCGTTCCCTGACTCTAGGCCCTTTTTTCAGGAGTCTGAGCCCACTACTTATGTCAATGCCCCATTAGTGGGCCTGTTGGCCTACTTTTCAACCCATCCATGATTTACACTCCGGAATGTGAAGAGAGAATGTAGTGGTGTGCAAAGGCCACCCTCTCTAATTATTATCAATTATTGTTATTATTATTACTAAAGTTCCTAATTGTATCATTTCAATTAATGAAAGTAAAGTAGCTTCTTTTTTTTTTTTTTAATGAAATTCGCTTTTTCCGTTTCTTTTTATTTTGGGGTGACTTTTTCGGAAAATTAGGCATTAAAATGTGATAAGCAATTTAAGATCAGTCTTCAAATTTGTCAAGGAAAGGATTGAATAGCTTAAAGCTATAACATGGTAACATTTCCACTTTGACTTGCAATTTTAGGGCTTTCTATCTGTTACGTTGTTTTGTTTTATATTATTCTTTTATTAATTTTCTTTCTTCTTAATATGCCTGCTCTGAAAATTCTTAATTGACCACTCATCTCGTGAATTACATACATAATTCTTAGAAAAGTAACACTTTTATAGGGTTAAAAAAATGGAACCGGACCAAAATTGAAAGACACTTTAGAAAAATAAAATAACATGAAGACGCCAAAGTAAAGGACTCTTTGGTTTAAACAGAAACCTTTCCACAGTAAGAAAGGATATAACTATTCTTCTCGATATTTTCCAGAGGAGTAAAATGTTGTCTGTTTTTGCCGTTCACTTTGTTATCATTTTACATGCAATCCTTCACTATCATTCCTCCGTAGAGAAAGTAAATTATATACAATAATGCCGCAGAGCATACGAGAGACACGTAAAATGTTGGTCGAATAGGGCCAAATACCTCTCTATCATTTCATAGCCGCGGTACACTTTTTGTTGTAAAGATTGATTGTCCAAAAGTGAATGCTGGCCAGGGTCCAAAGACTTTGTTGTTTATGATTGAGAACAAAGCTTTTGATTAGCTCGATGAAAGTTTTCAATAAACATGCCTCAACTGTGGGGTACCCTACGGCAATCGCATCATGCATATTTTTGTTCCTTTTACAAATACATATACATGCATACATATATCATCACTTCCGACAATTCAAACAGAGAAAACCTCGGTAAGTCCAATATTAAACAAGGTTGGAACTGTTTCCTGTAGATAAATTCTTTTTCTATTATATTACCGATGATTTGTTCAATTAGCTTTCCGCTTGACAGATTGATTCTGTCTATATTATCCCCATCAAAGTAAGCAGCTTGTGCAAACTTCACTCTTGATTAACATATCGAGGTCCCTCTTGTGTGTCAATACAATCTTTTAACGGCTCAATCTAAGATTTCCTATTCACTATGGGAATTTTTCCAAGTATTGGAAATTCGAACGAGTGGTCTACTGGCCTCTGTGATTGTACCAAAGATTGCCGTTCCTGTAAGTTATCAGAATTCAAGCGCTGTATATAAGTACCATTTAAAGGTTTTCAATTGTCTTCGTTGATTTCTCATAGTGCAATTCACAGTTCGTCAACATTTCCTGTCCTGATTAATATCGTTCGTTATTTGACAGGCTGCCTTACTTGCTGGTGCCCTTGTGTTGCCTTCGGGAGAAATGCTGAGATTGTGGATAAAGGCCAAAATTGTAAGTAGAAACAAGAACGGTTTTGAGTGTTCCAATTCAACAGCAATCAAGCTATGAGATATGAAATGCATCGATGAAAAGAATCTGTTCTTTTTTTTTTTTTTTTTCCTTTTCTATTTTCAGCTTGCTTCCTGATGGGGTGCATTTTCTATTTGCTGAATCTCACATGTCATTATGTCGGTTGTTCGTGGATTATTAGCATGGGCTATCGTAGTAAGCTGAGGAAGCAATACGGTATTAAGGGAGGGTCATGCCAGGATTGTCTCATTCATTTCTGTTGCCAGTCTTGTGCCTTGTGCCAAGAGTACCGTGAACTTGAGTCCCAGGGATTTGATGTTTCTGCTGGTAAGAACTTCACTGATCAACCACGTCATTTTTTCCATTTGGAGTGTGCATTTGTACCTGTTTCGTGAAAATATATGCATCATTATTTGGTCATTTTAAAAGGAAAATGCATCTTTTTTGTTATTTACACCTCCATATATCATCTTTTTTATTCAGAGACTATAACGCCTCTGCCTTCATTTTTTTTTTTTTGCCCGTTGATTGATTGATCTCACGAAAACACTCCTCTTGACAAATTGAGATGATCATTATATTCTAGTCAAGCACATTTACCTCATATTCTTTTCTACAAAAAGATCTAGGGTTTTCTAAAATCAACCATAGAAAACAATTCTCTAGAAGAAGGTATTGATGATGGAATGAATATGATATGCAACTTGATCAAGTCTAACAATATTGTAGAAATTTTCACTTTTTATTCCACAAGTAATTTGCAAGACCATAAGCCATTTTTAATCTCCATATTCTGAATTTTAGGGTTTAGTGTAAGTTTATTGTTTTTTTCTCTTTTTTTTTCCTTTGCAAAGGGTTTTTTTTTGGGGTATAAGATGTAATCTTGAAACGTTTGTGGGTTCACCCCCTTCTTCATTTTGGTATGCTCAGCGTGTGCTTTGAGGCAAACAACAAAAATGCTCCCAATTGTTCAATCTACATTCTTCTTTTTTTTTTTTTTTAAGAAGATTGTGTCTTGAATTGGGGTACATGTTGCATCAACTGATCAGTATAAAATCTCTATATTGGTTCGTACGGTCAAGACATAATCAGAACTTAATCTCCAATTCCAATTTCAGATTCAATATTTTTATAAAGCATTCTCCATGATGTACCGTGGTTTCCAGGTTGGGATGGAAATACCTCCAAAAAGGTCGCTAATTGGATGACTTTGGCTCCAGTTTGGGAAAGCATGAAACGTTAGCTCGAAGAATCTACTCATCTGCAACATCAATGTTCTGATAGTTTTTCTGGTTGATTTTCTCTTTGTAATAATCTAATATATACCTAAATTGATTCTCAAAATAAATGACAAAATGTAGGGTTCTAGTCATCAGAAATAATCTCATCAGCTTTCGAGCTCACAAAGACAATTTTATGGAACAAAGCATCCCAACTTTAATACTACTTTGAAATGCAAAACGGGATTATTTCAATTTTTATATAGAGAACTCTTAACTACCAGCTGGGATTTTTTTTTTTCTTTCCCTAGATGAAGTATGAATTGTAAATCTTCAGGCCGGCAACACATGCAGAATTTGAATTTTAAATTCTAATTCAGATTAAATATTGTATATCTAGCGGAGATAGTGTAAATAGTATCGGTTTATAAAAGATTAACTCAACTTTTAATAATAAATAAAAGAGACGATCACAAGCAACATTTCCTGCACTTATGCATCATCAAAGGGGTCCAAAACAAAACTAAATAGATTACAACTCCGAGTATACAGCAAATAAAAAAGACATTACATCACATCCCATGAAAAAACTGCAAAAATTTTCTTATCAAGATTCCATTCCAATCTGAAGTTCCAATTCTCTCTCGAACGTGGCACCCTTTTCATCAGATTAGTCAAAGGACAAATCATTGTGACCTTACACCCTCTTCTATTTTCTTGATGTATGTATAGCTCTGTTCTAAAGTTCGAGGGAGACTGCAAACTTTAAATATGTCTAATTTCCAGTCAATTTTTTTTTTTTCATTACTTGGGCTACTAGGTTGACGACATTCTTAGGCATGATCCAGTGAGACTGTCGAACATGGTGGGTTTTGGACTACGGGGCACATAATCCACAGAGACTTCGCCATCGGGTTACATCAATTCGATGAGTTCTGGCACAATCCGGCCCACATGGTGGGAAAAGTAGTGTCCAGGTACTTTTTTAAGTCCTGATCCAAAACAAAACCATCTGCTAGGAGATGTAGTCGGTGCGCCCCACTCTATTGAAGGCTTCCCTCAGTCTACTGGCCTACTTTATGATTATAATCCAGAAATCAGATTGTGAGGAGAAAATGTACGTGGTGTGGTAAGGATCACCTGGAACTACAAATGAGTCAAATTGCTTGCAAGTTAGTTCAGTTAAAATTTGGCTCAACTTTGATCAGCATCGAACTCAAAGTCGAGTTCGAACTCGAGTTCGAGCATAGAAAAACTTATGTCATTAGCTCGCGAGTTGTTCGATTATATATATATATATATATATAGTGAATTATATATATTTCTAAAATTTTATTATATATTAAAAAATTACTATTTTATTTATTTTTTAAAAAATAAAATATAATATTTTTTTATTTTTAAACTCAAATAGGCTCGAGCTCAAGTTCGACTCGACTCAAATTTGAGGTCGAGTTCGAACTCGAACTTTATGTTAACAGCTCATTGAGCTCAAGTTCAATGGTAAAATTGAGTCGAAACTCAACTCGACTCTATTCGTTTGTAATCCTGGGCCACCCTCTCAATTATCATTTTATCATTACTACCAATTATCATTTATCATTATTACTAATTATTTTTTTCTGAATACCTTTCTATCACTATTAATATAGTTACTAATTCTTTCAAATTTGTTTTTACTTTTTTATATTTTTCTGAAATTTTTGATCATTTTGGAAAGTTAAGCATTAACCTAAATATTGCAATGTTATAAGCAATTTATGATTAGCCTTCGAATTTGTTCAGAAAGGATTGAATAGCTGAAATGAAAAATGGTTATTCACTATAACTTACAAATCTTGATCAAAGTGCGACTTCACAGGCAGAATTTGATGAAGACCCAAAACACTAATCTATAAAACCGCTTGTCATTTAATCATAGATTTTTGCTACTGGGGACAAATGCATAGCATATTATTGGAAGGGGGAAAAGTTCCATTGACCCTCCAACTTTTGCCTGGATGAACTTTTAGCCCTCCATCAAAAATTTTAGCAAAGTATGTAACTTTGAAGCCACACATAAATATTTAAAGTAAAAAAAATTAAAAAAATGGTCAGGAACATGATTCATACCTTAACATAAAAAGTAGTTGAATTTGGACTGAATAATCCATTCGTTTCCTTATGAAATTATTTAATTTTAAATCTGAAAACTGGAGAGCCCCAACAAATGAAGAAACCCCTAAAGACCCCTTGGCTTTACGACCAAGAAGGGTATATCACTTGAACCAAAAGCACACAAACGAGTCTTCAAACAACAAGCCATTTTTTATACCTCCTAAACAAATATTTCAAGCTTATAACACCAAAAGATTGAAAACCTAGAAAAACCCACTTCTCTTTTTGGATCAAGAACCAATCTTCTATCTAATGGATATGAAATTCCAAGAAAGTTACCTCCTTTGTTGCTCAAATTCCAAACTTGTAGCTTTGTACCTGGAAAGAAACCCAAAAAAAGGAAAAAACAAATCCTTTGTTTGACAATTTATTTATTTTTTATGTTTTAGACTTGAAGAGATATGATGAGGCTTAATGGAGGAAGAGGGAGCAAGAAAGCAAAGGTGAAGGGGGTAATAAACAACTCAAATAATAGAAAGGGGAAAAGGGATATGATGATGCTTGCTGATCTTGAACACTGTTCAATTTTCTTGTCCGAGAGATTTAGACATGGGAAGTAAATTTCTTCCATGTTTGAAGTAAAGAAAAGGGGCTGTAAAATGCTTCTTCAATTAGGATTTTTCTTACAGCCTTTCACTCGATGAATTCTCGTGAGTGGACGAGAATGCCCTTATTAATTCCTCATGATTATGCGTGATGTTGTTCTCCGTCATTCTTAACTGCTGAAATTGACAGAAGGACGAATATTTGGCACTTTCAATAGATTGGGGGCAACATGTTTACTTCTAATTATTGAAGGACTAAAAATTTACTTGAACAAAAGTTGGGAGTGTTGTTGGAACTTTTTTCCCTATTGGAAGTGGTACAATTTATCAACCTATCACAACCTATGGGGGCCATACTTGCATGTGGGTTTATACGATTTTTATTTTCCTTTCTATTCATATAAAAATATGGCCATTACCTGGAATTTCTTGTTGATTCCATTTTCTGGTTCTCTATTCTGGCCCCTTTTTCTTAGTTCCCAAGAATATGTCCAAAAATTCTGGATTGACATATATCAAGGAAGGTAATTTGAGACACAATTCTTAACTTTTGTGTTGCTATCTTTGTGGTTTGGATCAACCTAAAACTGGAACCAATCTTACTACTTCTCTCCGAGAGCCAATTTTTTCTTTTTCTTTCATTCTTGATGAGCGGATGAAGTCATAAGTCATGAAAATTTGGTAGTGGAAAAAGCAAAATCCGACCTGCCGGATTCGAACCAGCGACCTAAGGATTGCTATGTAACAACTACAGTCCTCCGCTCTACCAACTGAGCTAAGGTCGGCTGCTTTCGTTGTCATAATCACCAACCTAATATTTCCGAAAACAGTTTTGGTTGGTAATTTAACTGCTTCTGAATTTCTGATCATACCAATAATGATTTCAACAATGAGTGCGGGCTTGAACTATACACCTTCAGCTTACAAGACTGATGCTCCGGAAAGCTTCGGCCATTTTGGGAATACTGCATTTTTTTTCCATTTTTGTTGTAAGATTATGAGAGAAACTCATAATAATAGGAGTAATACAATCAACAATTTAAGTCATATATGATGAGAATTACAATTCGATAATACTAAAGTAACCCATAAATAATAGGAGGAGAAATTCATAGTTCTTTGAAATCTCAATTTTAATCAGTACAACAAGACTTATCGACAAAACATTGGAATTTTCCCTTTCATTTTCTTTAATTTAATTTATTTTTTTATTTTTAATTTCTTTTTGTTCTTAATATGCATGCGCTCAATATTGTACAATTATCACACCTCCAAAATTATTTATACTTTTCTCAAAAAAAAAAAATAGTTTGATGCAAAAAGAAATACCATGAAACCTACCAAAATAGGGTTCTTTCCTAAGACCACCCCTACATTCCCAAGTAAGGGGTGGATTTACCTATTGTCTGGGGTGTTTTTCAATAACTTTACTATAATGATGTATATGAAAAAATTTTACTGCAAATGATTAGATGTTTTTAGAAGGTATTATTGAGAATATATTTTGAGGTATTTTTAAAAATTAAAATTTTAGTGGGATGTTTTTTAAAAATTTAGAAAACTTCATCACCAACCATCATCACCATTACCCATCACCGCCACCACTCCTCCCCCTCCCTCCCTCCTCCTCTTTCCTCCCTCGACGTTTTCCTCCCCTTTTTCCTCTTCCTCCTCCCTTTTCTCCTCTCTTCGTTCTCTCACCTCCTTTTCCGTAACCCCTCTCCCTTTTCTGGTCGCAGCCCATGACCAGCGAAAAAGGGGAAAAGAGAGAGGAAGAAAGGGAGGAGGAGGGGGAGGAAGGGGAAAATAGAAAAGAGAAGAGATGAGAGGGGAGAGGACAGTGGTGGTGGTAGTAGGTGGTGGGTGAAAGAAGAGAAAAAGGGTAGGATTTTGGTTTTTGTTTTTTAATTACGTGTATTTAACAACTTAGAGTGTTTTTTGGAGTCATTCTATTACTGTAACATTATTTATGAAAAATAATCCAATCTAAACAGAGCCACTTTCCTCGATATTTCCTACGAAACATCGAATGTTCTAATAGCTTTCCACCTTTTTGATCATCTCACATGATATCCTTCACGCATGCAGCCCCCGGAGACAAGCAGATAGTAATTTTAAACTTTTGAAAAGATTAATGTGCCATATTATTTGCTTCAAAAAAAAAAAAAGTGCCATATTATTCCTACGACACATAAAATGCTGCTCGCATAGACCCAAATACATCTCTATCATTTCACATGCATTGTAGAGCATCTTTTTGTCACAAATTAATTGTCTAAACGTGTATGTTGGCCAGGGTTTGAAGACTTTGTTGTTTATAATTGGGAACAAAGTTGTGATCAGCTCAACCAAAAGTGTTCAACTAGTCAGTCATGTTTACGCGGCCTCTTACCCCATTGCAGAGTGACCTACCAGCAATGGCATCATTTACATTTTTGTTCTTTTTCTTCGAGGTATATTAGCATTCACAAGGAATAATAAACAATTTCC